ATTTATTGATTTCACTTTCCTTTTTTCCAGGTCGATGGTCCAAAAATAATCTTCGTCCTTGGATTTCCTTCAACCATGTTGTCCGTCATGTGACCTACAACGACGCCACCGACGATTTCTCAGTGGTTGTGAAAAACCTTTCCGAAGACCGGGTGCTTCCTGTTCAAACGTTTGATAATGTCATCGTTGCAACTGGGCACTTCTCTGTTCCCAACATCCCTTCATTTCCTGGAATAGACAAGTTCTCTGGCCGGGTTTTACACTCGCACTCTTTCCGGAATGCCTCTCACTTTAAGGACAAGAACGTTCTCGCGGTAGGCTCAAGCTTATCTGCAGAAGACATCGCCATCCAGTGTCTCAAGTATGGTGCGAAAAGCATCGTTTGCACTTGGCAAACAAAGCCCACGGGTTTTCCTTTTCCCCCTGAGATAACAGAAAGACCCCTGTTGACCAGGATCGAAGGTAGCACAATCCATTTCAAAGACGGCTCCTCAACAGAAGTTGACGACATCATTTTGTGCACAGGGTATCGTTATTCCTTCCCGTTTCTTGAAGATGATCTGCGCCTGAAGACCGTTCTTAACCTGTACCTCATGGGACTCTACAAGGGCATTTGCTGGACCCAGGGAGGAAACAGCAAGCTTCTGTACTTGGGAATGCAGGCTCAATACTATACCTTTATCATGTTTGATGTACAAGCCAAATGGGCGGTGGATTACATCACAGGAAAGCTTTCCCTTCCAGACAAGCAAACCATGGAGAGTGACTGCCAGAAATGGCTTGCCAGGTAACGTCATCGTTTAGTTAGCAGGTGGATGTATCATTCTGTTCAGCCTAATTTTCAGGTTTTGTAGCCGGGGAACACCCTGTTAACCAGAACCCAACGTGACGGGCTCCAAATCTGGCTCTTAGAAGTCGGCCGAATTGATAGCATGGGGGTTCTTTAGAAATATGAAGATGACGGATCGAAAAAACAACAGCAAGCTAGAATACAACTCCTTTCCGACCAACCATTACTCGGTAATGTCACCAAAATTCCTGGTGACATTAGTAATTTTTGTAACACGAGTATTTTTTTTTTGAAATAATTTGTAAATTGATTGTGGTGGCTTTCTTGAAAATCAGTAAGCAATGCAGTTAGTCAGACAGTCAGTCTGTTTGTCTGTTGATCTGTCTGTCTGTCTGTCTGTCTGTCTTCTATTTGCTTACCTTTCTATCTGTTGGTCCGTATTATATGTCTATTCTTCCATCTGTCTGTCTCTCTGTCTATCTGTTTGTCTGTCCGTCTGTCTATTTGTATATCTGTCTATCTTACCGTCTGTCTGTCTGTCTATCTCTCTAAAGGGTAAACCTGTTTATCTGTCTGTCTGTCTATTTGTTTATCTATCCATCTATCTATCTGTCTGTCTGTCTGTCTGTCTGTCTGTGTGTTTGTCTGTTTGTCTGTCTCTCCTGCTTAAGGTCGTCTACCGACATGTTCTTTTTAAATCCCCAGTCTCCTTAGCTCATGACTATATTTTTTCCTCTTTCCAGAATGTGTCCTTTAAAGGATCATCACGACAACATTGATTACCAAACTGCTTACGTTGCTGATCTTGTTAAAGAATCAAACTATGGCTTCGACTTGGATTGCTCAGAATTACAACACGCGTGGTACAAATCCAAAACGGTGAACATCACGACTTACAGAGATCAGCGCTACACAAGCAAGTTCACCGGAACTAAGGCAGCAGTCCATCATACATCATTTATGAAAGCGTTTGATGATTCCATTCAGGGTTACCTCAGCACTAACGGATACGGGAAAAACATTCTTTTATATAAATATTTCTTATTTAATTCTGAAGGTCTGCTCCGTTTATTCATTTATTTACTTTTGAACAGCTGTAGCAAAATTGTTAGGTACACGAAATCTGCCCCGCTTCCTTCTAAGCCACGACAAAAAAAAAACTTCAGCTTTGGTAAATAACTAAGAGGGAATTGTAGTCCCTGTAGTTCTTTGCTGTTAACAGTTCATTGGTGCATGACCTATTAAGCTATGAAATCAATAAAAGTGGAATAACAATTTGGAAATGTAGTCAGTGTACCCCACAGCGCAAAATGCTTCGAATAAGGCTCGTCCAAACTGTCGTAGACATTTTCATTGTTCCCATAGTACATTGGGTAACTACAATTCACCCGACGGGGTTAGTCAGCATCGCTTTGTTGACTGGCTGTCAACTTAACACGGTAACGCTGTCAAAAATTATAAGTAAGTTCTGACTTTGAGAACAGATTACGTAAGCATATTTCAAATGGTCTTGGATAATGTAATGGCTGATTTTATTATTATCATTATCATTATCATCATCATCATCATCATTATTGTTATTATTATTATTATTATTATTTATTTATTTTATTTTTTTTTTTGAGATAAAAAACCTTAACTGCCAATGGCCTTCGCACCAAAGCCAGACAACTTGCGTCACGAAAACAAATCTCCACGCTACTTGCGTCGGTGTTCGGTTTGA